ATGGACTCTTATATTTATTGCAGCATTAATTGAATAGCCAAACTATGACTTTGTATCCATTGATAGCAGCCCAAGTATCCATTGATAGATGAATGGATAAGAAGATGTGGTATATATATATACAACGGAATATTATTCAGTCATAAAAAGAATGAAATCTTGTCATTTCCAACAACATAGAACTAGAAAGTATGTTAGGCCAGTCAGAGAAAGACAAATACCATATGATTTCACTCATGTATGGGATTTAAGAAACAAAACAAATGAGCCAAGGGAAAAAAAGCAGAGACAAACCAAGAAACAGACTCGTAACTATAGAGAACAAATTGATGGTTACCAGAGGGGAAGTGAGTGGGGGGTGGGGGAATTTATAGGATGGGGATAAAAGAGTACACTTATGAAGATGAAAAAAAATTATGAAAAAAAGAAAGTCATCCGGAAGGATTCATTCTGAAAGATAAGTAGTGATTAGTTCAGAGAGGAAGAATTAGAAATGAGCAAGTGAAGGAGGGAGGGAGGGAAGTGGATGGCATTTTACTATTTCTTATTTATACTTCTAATTTGCTTAAATCTTTTACAGTGAGCTTATATTAGTTGGTAACTTTTTAAAACTTCAAGCTATTGGGGGCACCTGTCTGGCTCAGTGGGTAGAGCATGGAACTCTTGGTCTCAGGGTTGTGAGTTCAAGCCCCATGTTGGGCATAGAGCTTACTTAAAAAAAAAAAAAAGTTAAAAAGGGGCATCTGGCTGGGTTAGTCAGTAGAGCATGTGATTCTTGATCTCTGGGTTGTGAGTTCTGGCCCTCTGTTTGGTGTAGAGATTACTTAAAAATAAAATCTTAAAAAAACAAAAAGGTTTTGGATTATGTCGGAAACAGGTTTGGAATCAATTCCATTGTTTACCTTGGGCACTTACTCCATCTTTCTATGTACTGTAAAATAATAATTGCTACTTCATGGGATGGTAGAAGGAGCTGATCTGTGTAAAACTTTTAGCCCACTGCCTGATACTAATAAAATTGAATTGTATAGGTCAAAAAAAAGAAAAAAAAAACCCTAAGTATGAAAGACAAGACCATTAAGATTTTAGAATATAGTGATATTTGTTTATTTATATATTTATTTAGAGCACTCAAGAGTGTGAGTGGTGGGTGGGGGGGTGCAGAGTAGAGAGAGAATCTTTTTTTTTTTTTTTTAAGATTTTATTTATTTGAGAGAGAGAGAGAGCATGAGTGGGTGAG